GAAGAGGAAGAGGAAGAGGAAGAGGAAGAGGAAGAGGAAGAAGAAGAAGAAGAAGAAGAAGAAGAAGAAGAAGAAGAAGAAGAAGAAGAAGAAGAAGAAGAAGAAGAAGAAAATAAAAGTGTGCCATAGCACAGCAGGTGGGAACTGAGGCAGGAACCCAGACCAGATCTTATAGGACTCATCCCCGTGGGGAGGACTTTTAATCTATTCTCACCGGAGGATGGAGTTGGTGGGGATGGGAGATGATCAGGCCACATATTTTAAAGATGATCATGACGAGTTAGAATTAGTGCATGGGACTGGAATCTCGGTGCCTGGGACGTGGAGGCAGGAGGATAAGGAACTTAGGTTCAGCACCAGCTACACAGAGTTCAGTGCAGGGTTACAATGAGACCTTGTCTCAAAACAAGAAGATAACTTTAGCAGAAGTGTGGGAGGAGCAAGGAGGAGCAGAGTAATGCCAGGGAGGGATGCAGTGGGCAGGGATCACAGGGTACAAGACACCAAGTAGGTTAGGCCAAATAAAGGCCACGGGAATACAGAAAAACTTTTACCGCGTTCAGAGATGCCATGATAGGTGGGTAGCGGGAGGAAGGATGAAGGGTGAGGCTCAGGGCTCTGCTGATTACGTTCATAGGATGAGGGAGCACTGGAGAAGGAGCTCTCTGTCTGCACCTGCGGTTCCCTCTGCTACAGTGTCTCTCTGCTCCCCATAAATTCACCTATAAACTTTGCCCACAGCAAGCCGGTCCAGGCTCAGTATGGACTCGTCCTGCCCAGGGCTAGAATGGCCATTTTCCTACTATGCTTTCGTGGCTGCTGGTCAGAAGCCAAGAACTATGAGCTGGGCTAATATTTTTGTCCTGTTGCTGCTCCTAGACTGGTGTGGGAGAATTGTCTGTATTCTGTCAATCATGTATTTTAATAAAACGCTGATTGGCCAGGCAGGAAGTATAGGTGGGTCAACCAGACAGGAAGTAGAGGCGGGCAATGAGAACAGGAGAAGGCTAGGAAGGAGGAAGCCCATTCCTCCATTCCTGCCCAGACCACAGAGAAGCAAGATGTAACCTGCCCCGCTGGAAAAGGTACTGAGCCACATGGCTAACACAGACAAGAATTATGGGTTACTGTAAGATGTAAGAACTAGTTAATAAGAAGACTGAGCTAATGGGCCAATCAGTTTATAACCTAATGTAGACTCTGTGTGATTTTCTTTGGTGGGTGGGACAGAAACCCCAACAAACCGGCCGGTCCTTCATGTTACAGTAGACCCTGACATAACCAAAGCTGGAAGTGTCTGTGTACCCAGACCTTTACATCTGCACCAAGTCCTACCACCACGCATAAGCTAGAATCTTCACATGTATAGCTGCAATTCAAGTCCCAGGCTTTCTACCTTCTTTGGCAGAAGAACCTGCCTCTGACTCGTCCACCACATTTGCCTCTCCAGTCCCATGTGTCTACGTCCCTGGCTCTAAGTTGCCCTGTCTCTTGCTCACCTTAAATTGCTCTTGTACAGGACACTGTCACCGTGTCTTGTATGAGGAATGAAGTCGGCCACCTGATTGTTAGATGGAAGATGTGAACGAAGAAACAGACTTTTAAGGTCATTCTTTCCAACCAACTGATTTATAAAGAATATGGTTTCCATTGTTTATGAATGTCAGAATGTAGGCTGGTGTCTGCAACCACACACATGTTGGCTATGATGGCACCCGGCCATCACACAGTAGGTACAACGGTGCCCCATCACCACACAGTAGGTACAGTAGTGCCCTATCACCACACAGTAGGTACAATGGTGCCCCATCACCACACAGTAGGTACAATGGTGCCCCATCACCACACAGTAGGTACAGTGGTGCCCCATCACCAC